AGTGGTCAGAGTGAAGCCGGATCCAGACGCCTGCAGGGTTCAGTGGTGTTCCCTCTGAAATGAGTCAGTGTGAACCAGCTCACAGTTGTTTTTACTCTCCAGCTCACACATTTTTGTCTTGGCTGAGGAAGGGAGGGCTCCGGAGCAAACTGACTGCTGCTGCAGCCCCATTACTCGCTCACCACTTTCATGCCGGTGTAGCCCACAAGAGTCGAGTTTTTGCGCACAGGAGGCAGCCTTCCAACCGGGTCTGGTTCCGGGCAGGAGCGCCTGTTCCTTCATTCCCAGCCACCCACACTCTTCCTCCCCAGGCCTCTTTCTGCATGCTTTTGTTGTACGTCCATTTTATGAACCACTTTGTACTCTGCCACTGCCTAACAGGTTTGACTTAGAAGGTATACTTAGCACTTCCATAATACCTATGATTCTAACATCATGAATGTATTCAGGTATTAACTTTGGTTCATTTGTGACTGTTGTTTGAATGCATGCTGGGAAGAAGGCTGAAATGCTGATACACCGTTATGCTACCCATGGCCTTGCTCGTTCTGGCCAGCTACAACTGCGCATGTTTCTGATGTCAGTTAACCCAGCTAGAACGAAGAACAGTAAGCACTCTGTAACCATATCAGTTATATAGACACAACATGCTGCTTCATAGCCTCAGAAAGAAACGTGTATGGTTCTGTTAGGAAAAGAAGAACTCTGCCTGGGGACAACCCCCATCCCCCCTCCCCAGGTCTCAACCCAATGGGAAATAGGTGATGATGGAATGTGCCAATGTTTGATGGAACCAATAATTCTGTTCTATTTCTCTGATGTAATGTGAAGTATAAAATGCTATTTCACCCATTGTGACGCTTGAAGAATCTGTTGGGTATTCAGGGTTCCAAAACCCTTGAATCTGCATTCTTCCTTATCCGTTAATAAATTATTCTTTTGGTCTCCAACGCTACAGGACGGCTTCTGTGTGTTTTCTCAAAGTGGCCTGGGCAAAGACCATCAGGGACAGAGGTTCCGTCTTACACTTTCAAATGCAACTCTTCAGTCTGGGGAAGATTTTATGGTAATAGAAACTTTAAAATGTGCAGCAGTTTCCAATTCGCCTCCATTTTTTTTAAAAAAAAATGTTATGAAACGGGCGTGTCACAATAAGGCTGCTGCTGCTGCTGCTGCTGCTGCTGCGTCCTGGAAGTCGGACCAGATTCTTTTTCTTCCTCCCCCCAGGGGGGGGGGGCTGGTCGCTGGAGGGGACTCCATCCCCCAGTAGGCCTTGCGGCACCCGGGAGGTCGGCCCCGCCCTTTCCTCTGTGCAGGTGTGTGTGGCTGTAGGTGTGTGACTGATCGAGGCCGAGAAGAAGCCCGTGTCTGGGTCTGGGAGCTGCGGGGGAAAGGAGGGGCGGCGCTTGCATCCCCCTCCAGCGCCGCCTGCGAGGGTTAAAGGGAGGAGGGGGCTGGCTTTGCCAGGGGGGCGGGTCTCGTCCCTGCTGCAAAGGGAGGGAAAGAAAGAGAGAGCCTCGCAGCAGCAGCAGCCGGGCCCGGGGAAGGTCTCCTTGCAAGTAAGCCGGGCACGTGGCTTCTTTTCGGGGGGGAGGGGGAGATCTATACTCCGTGTCCTTTAAGGGCCAGGAGGTCGGGCGCGCGGACGGGGGGGGGGGGGGGGGCCCCCGGCCGCCCCTTTCGCGTCCGCAA